ACAGCGGCCATTTTGACATGAAATAGTAGGGTAAACGATGATACTAATTAAGGCTCTGTTCATTTAGTGTAGCAGAACCTTTCCAGTAAACCAACATGCACACTAGCAGCACCCTGACTGACTCTAATGGAAGAGAACCTAAATTAATAATAATGGGTTACATCTCCAGTGTAAATAAACATCTGATTGGACAGAAGAATTTGTCATCAGAAGTCATTTGCACTCGTACAGTGTGTGACGCGCTGTTACTACGACGCACTCTCCGTGTGTGTGTGTGTGTAAGTGTGATTCTTTGAGGAGGAAGAGGAGGAGGAGGGAGGCTGCCCGGTTACAGACAGCTCGACTGAACTCTGTGTTAAAGTCGGGCTTCATCTGCTGCTAAATGGCGCCACCACAGCCGTCAAAACCCAAGGCAAAGCGTGCCGTCACATTTCGTACCAAGCCAGGAAAAGGAGAGGTGAAGGTATGACCCCTAGCGTCCACTACACACTGCTTTCTGGTATCGGGTTCATGAATTTCCTTGGAAAACTGGTCTCACAATGAGTCCCAAAACAAAGTACAAGTAGTGGTGTGTTTTCATTTAGTTCAAATGAAAGCCAGAATGAAGACAGGATAACGTGCCCGACACGTTATGTTAGCCGGCCTTTAATATATTGAAACGAAAACAAACATGAAAATGAACATAAACATAAGCTGCAACAATTCCAGCCTTCCTCACGCTGAACGCTGAACAGACGGCAGAGTGAGCGGCTCTGACTTTAAACCCAGTGTCCATTTTAAATCAACTGTACATGTGGCCGGGCAGTACACGGCTGCTCTGTTGGGGTTGAGGGTTGTTGTTGTTTTTTTTAAGTGCCATGTAAATCACAGCAGGTGTTTTTAATCAATTCAGCCCGCCAACGTGACGTCACTGACTGGGTGTGGCCGGGAATGCAACATGGTGGACTGAGTTTACCCTTTTCTATCAAAATGTAGGGTTTGGCTTTCTTTACTGACTCTTTTACAGAAACAAATATGCAGTCATCAGTTCGATCCTAATACTTGCAAAATCACATTCATAAATCAACATTTTTCCAATCATAAACCATATTTTTTCATTTTAAAAAATGGTCATACAATCAAACAATACATCACATTCCTCCTATATTCTAAAAAAAAGAAAGCTATATTGAACATTTATGATAACTATTTGTTTTATGTCCGTCCCCTGGCACTATATGGTCATGTACTGTCTGTGTTTACCCCGCTGTTGGTTAATAAAATAGATTTTTTTAAATATGGTGGACAGTCCTGCGAGAACGGCAGCACTGCAGCAGCTGTCTGGCCTGCATGATCAACAGGAGCTTGTTATACTGGACTTCTCCAATGTTAACCTGTGTAATACTTCATTATTAGAAAAGAGCAGTCATTCAAAAAACCTTGAATCAAATAAAAGCTCTCATTAATGTCATTACTGACAAACTGCCCATCCATACAAAACACAACTTGAAAACTAAGTAATCTGTCAAAATGTTGTTTCTCAAAAATATAAAAATAAAAAAAAAGCATCATTTACTTTGAGGACACATTTTTATTGCAAAACCCTTTAAAATATCAATTTGTACTTCTAATGTTTAATTTTGACATAGTTTGCGAGCCACTGTGTAGCTCTATGAATCTGTCCATTCATACTCAACATCAACAACATACTGAACACAACCATAACCATCTCCCACAAATGTAAAGTCAGCGTTGCATATTAGTTGATAGCTTCCATACAAATTCTGAGGTCAACACTTTTAAGACCATAGCAGCTTGAACATGAAAAACATCTTCATATTCTCTGCAAGAGAACAACAAGATTTCATGGCTGTCCAAACAGATGTGGACCAATGATAAAAGAGTTAACAGTTAGTACAGCACCAACATAATACTGCAGACTGACTGTTAATTCATAGAAAAGTCTCAGTTGGCTCACACCTCAAATGTAACTTTTGTCAGGAGCTCCATGTGCTCCTCTTTACTCTGTCCGTTATTGAAGGAAGCGGCTGAGGTCCTCATGAATCTCAGCTTCATCCCAGGGTCCATGGATGTTGTCCTTGTGCCTCTGCAGCCTGACTAACAGCAGGGGGCAGAGCAATGTAACACACCCTAAGGCCAGGGCTAAGAGCACAGCTCCCCCTGGGGACTGGGACCACAGGCCACCTACCCCTCCGATACACACTCCCACACACAACCCTGTAAACTGGTTAGGGGTGTTCTCCCTCAGCCTCTGCAGCAGGCAGGGCCACAGGGCAAACACCAGCAGGGCACAGCTGAGCATGGCGAAGGTGTGAAGAGCCCCAGGTAACCTTGAGGCTAGACACACTGAGGCAAACAGGGCTGCATTTATGGAGAGGCTGCCTGGGGGTGAGGGGTGGGCGTAAGGGAATGACACCAGGTGGGCCAGCAGCATCACAGCAGACATGGCGTACACCGTGTCAGTGCTCACAGACTCTGTTAGTGTCTTTAGAACAGGCGAGAAGCCAAAGGTGAAGGATAGAAAAATAGTGGCACTCTGTAGGTCAGCTAGACGAGTCCGGAGCTCGCAGCCTGATTCGACTTGAGACGTCAAGGCTTGGTGTAGTCCATATCCCAGCAGAGCGCAGACAAGACTGGTCCACAACAGCCTCTCAGGGGACAGCAGACCCTACGAGGAAAGCAGAGGAGTGGATTAACTGTGCATTTAATGTACACCATTCTATACAGTAAAGGCACAGTGCGTAGTGTAGTGATTTACCTGCTCCATGTAGAGCCAGAGGGTGATAAAAATGGCAACACAGGACAGCTGTTGTCCCACAAAGCCTGCTTCTCTCACCACAGCCCAGTAGCGGTACTGCCGGATGCCCTCATTCCTCCTTAATTCCTCCAGGAACCGCTGGTCCACATAGTTATCAGGGAAGGGCTGGCGCTCCCACAGCACCTTCCGCCAGGGCACAGCTGGACCTGGGACACTGTCTGGCCCCATCGCCCTTACCCCACACACACACACACACACACAAGAAAACATGGTCACATTTGTGAGCAAGAATTGTTCTCATCTACTGCTCAAAGAACCAAATCCAACATTTACTATTACTTTACCAAACCGGTAGCTTTATAAACGCCTAGACTAACAAGTAGGCAGCTTTGCTGGGTCGCCAGACCCCTAAAAGTTCTATGCAGCTTACTCAGAGTGAACTAACTTGTGCTAATTTATTTATTTATATAAAATGTCCAGCACTGTAACAAAGCATCAACTGTAGGGCAATGCTTGATGTTCTGTTGGACAATAAAAATAGTTCCTGGGACAAAAGGATACAGTTGGGACAATTCTGGGACAGTAGAGAAATGTGGCATTGCAAATGAAATGTTAATGCATGTACGGTAATATTTATAATTTTAATTGATGCAATGTCATACACAAAATCAATCAGAGAGAGAGCAGTGTTGCTTACTTGGTGACTTACTCACTAGATTCAGTGACTTTTTCTTAAAGGCTACTAGTGTAATTTAGCGACTTTTTCAGACCATAAGGGAAAAGGCCAGAAATATATTTAAATATAATATATTGTAATTCATTCCCATGTATGTTGGTCAGAGTAATCACAGTCCACGGCTCTTCAGCCAACAGCCCCCGGGGTCACTCCTTCTCTTCTTCTTCTGTGCGCAGGCAGTCAGTAGGTGTGGGACTACTTTCTCTTTCTCTCCGGATATCTGGATTAGGATGTTTCTATAGTTTGTAAATATGTATGTAGTTCATTTGACCTTCGCTCTCACTCTTTTTCTCTGGATATCAGGATTAGGATGTGTCTATAGCTTATATGTAAATAGTTTGTTTGAGCTTGTAAATATTTAAATAGTTAATCTGATCTTCTCCCTCCCTTTGTAGATGTTAAAAATAACTGTTTTTACTTCAAAGATACAATGTCCCTGTAGTGACTTTGTGATTATTTGGCTAAATGATAATGTTCTAAGTATGTGTACGGAAATTTAAACAGGGAAGAACTGGCAGAACCTTAATGGCAGACCAGAGTGAATCAATTAAGTGATAAGAGCTACATAAATAAACTAGTTATAAACCAGTATATTCATTATGTAGAATGAAAAATAATTGGGACAGTTGAAAATATAGTTCAGGGCAGTAAATGTCGAGTCCTGCTGTAAGGTGTGTGCTGTATGCTCTACTGTCACTACCTTCTACATTGCAATCTACCTATTCCCATATTTAACCAAAATAATCAATCAAACCTGGGAATGAATGGTAACATTATTCACATTAAACTGAGTAGGAATAACCACAGAACGGTTAATTTAAAGCTGTTTTATCGAAGCTTTGCCACTAACTATTGAGTGATGATGGAGCATAGCCTCTGAATACAGATAGCCTCAGTAGCTTTCGATAGCTTGGAAGCTAATGGGCTATGTGTCATGTAATGGATTTCTTGCATTTCTGTTTTTATCAGCATCTTTAACCGAGTCGCTATGTGGATGTGAATCATAAGTGCAGTGTTGTGTTGTGTTGTGTTAGCTCTCAGGTGAACCACTCTGCTCTGAACTGTGTTGTGGTTGACAGGTGCAGCTAGCATCAAACCACTGGTACTTCCGGCTTTGACACGACAATAAGAGCAGACAAGTCACATGTACACGTTTATCTATGAACATTGACGTGTTGACAAGGTGTTAAATAACCTCCACAAATATCTACAGAGGTTTCTCCACCTACCTGGGATGGGATTTTTTGTTCGGCGGCGAGGTTACAAACTCATCTTGTCATTATCCCGGAAGTGAAGCACTGTAACAGCTCACAGCGCCCCCTGTTGTTGGAGTCTTTAAAAAACACCTTACCAAGTATCTGTCAACCATAACTGTAACATTCATACTAATAACTTCATCATTTTTATCTTTTTCCTCGTCCAGATGTCTGTGTTGAACATACGTGGCCCCTTCTCTACTGAAATGATAAGACCGGCCAGCGCACAGAGCAACACGCCTGCCAAAAGGTCACCTCACTTTTACAACGTCAATTATTCTCATGATGCTGAAGGTTTGTCACTTTTAGGAACATGTTGATTGTGATATTCATCAATAACCTCATCTGTATTTTGTCAAATAATAGCGTCCCAGTGCCTAGACCACAGCCCTCTGTCTGCTATGTGACAACGCAGGCAGCTGGTAAGCCTGTCAGCTCCGGCACCCTGTCCAAGGGGCCACAAACACCAGCCATCGTGGTAAATTTCACCAGCATAAAGAAACCTTGTTTGGAAATGTATTTGAAATCCTGCATCAGCACTTTATGAGAGAGATTTACACAGCCACACACTTTCAAGTGCCTTCGTCTCTTTACCATTCCACATACAGTGGTTGCCTTTTTTGTTAGCTTGTGCTTAGCTATCTCTTACATATAGCCTATTTATGACTGTGGTTGCAGATAGGATCATGTCTTCACACAAACAGTGTTTCCAGAAGGACTGGATCATGCACGCAGCACCTGATAGGCCAGTAAGTGTCATGAATCAAAGGGTAATACCATGAGGATGAGTGATGATGATGACCAATACCACTTCCTTCCCTTTCAGTTCTCCTGGGCTGCGTCCGCTGTGCTTAGCAGGGGTCTCTGGTTCTACGCTGAAGGACTGTTTAATCATCAGATCTCTGCGCCACCAGATCCAGAAGAAGATGCCTGATAGTGCAGCAGCTCAATGATTTAGTCACTTCTGTTTCATCTGAGCTGCTGCATGCTTGAAAAAGCCCTGGCTTTCCTACAGGTATCTGCAACTGTTTGACATGCTGTCTCCATATACAGTAAAATAATTCAGCTTTGTAGAAAACAAAACATTTTTGCTCAGTACGAACACAACAAAACACAGAGGTCAGAAAAATTTGATTGTTTAATTTATACACATTTACAACTACAGGACATTAGTTGAATAAATATCTTATGACGTCACATCCCTCTCCCGCCCCCACTGCTCCATCAGGGTAGTAAAAATAATTTTCAAAGACAGTGTGGGTGTTGACTTAGAAACTTCAGCAATCTCCTACCCAGTAACTTAGAAATATCTTTAGAATATTTGTAGTCTTTTATTTTTATCGAACTTTGAAGCACATCGTTAACTGGTTTTAACTGCAACTTAATATTAGTAATCCAAGACAGAATCTCACCAAGTACTTCAGTTAAACACTGGATACCACAGTGACATCAGGTGGACAGAGGAATAAGAGTAATAAGCACTTAAACTGAGGCAGCAGATGACCATTTATCACAAGTACTGTGTAAACATCCACATGACATGTATGTCATTGCAGAGACCTACAATATGTGCATACTGTATGGTAAACTTGTATAATTAGAATAATCAGACACCTCTAACATAAGGCTGTTCAATTATGAAGGCATGAACTCATTGTTTGATCTTTATCTTTAGATGGCATCATGGAGCTTCCAGCCAGGATAGTGAGTAACCATTCAGTTTCATCTGTGGAGCTCCGTAATAACAATAAAGAAGCAGTCACCATAATCACAAACCACAGTTTTAACAGTCTTAATACTATACAAGCAACCAATGAAAACATCCTGAGCAGTGCTCCTTCACTCACATATCAAGACAAGCTGTGGACCTGCTGTTTCTGGAGGGCCGACAATAATCCTAACTGTTAACCTATTCTGTAAGAAGATGACAAAAAAAAAAATGTTGTTCTGTGGCATCAGAGGCAGTGCAATGATATTATATTAATTTGTAATGATGGCTAATAAAATATGAATATCAAACAAAACACATAGATACGAGAATTTAAAAAGAACGTAGCCAAGGCAGTAAATGGTACGTGCATATTAAACTGAGCAGTGCACCCATGTAGTAGTGGTAATGACCTTCCAGGTGTCAGTAAGATTAAAAATAGACTTCTGTCACCAGAGAGACAGGCGGGCTCAACATCTTCACACAGTAGGTGGCTGTAAGCAGACACCCGCCACAGCCGTGAGGCATGAAGCTGGCTGCCACAAGCCCACAAGTCATCGCATAGTAGTCATTAAGAGAATCTGGAGATGGCCCATTTCCTTTTCTCCTACTCCATGGTCCCTTGGGTGCCAAAGAGCAGCATTAGCAGCGTGGCCCTACTGAAACACCTGACTTTTCAGTATTGGCATGAAAGGGAAAAGTGAGACTTAATCTCTATAAACATAAATGTCAATGACAAAGGTAGAAATATTCAAAGGCGTAACAGTTCTGGCAGAAGGCCGGCGGCTAAATACCAACCACTGGGATGTCTTAGTAACACACAAAAGGTAGGAGAGGAAGGACATTGGGAAGACATAATGACTGATTGCAATTCCCACTCCTGTTTGGCAAAAATGAATAAAGATTTTCAGACACCAAACCATTTCTTCATCTTGTTTAGCTCAAATAAAAACAT